GTTATCTATAGTCAAGCCCAGTTTCTGGCCAACACTGAAAACAAAATCCGTCTAATCAATCAGGTAGTCAACGATCTTGAATCCCATGGAGTCCCGACAAAATGGTGCAATGGTGATGCAGATGTCACTATTACTAAGACGTGTATTGACTACGCTAGAAATTGTCAACCTGTTACGGTAGTTGCCAATGACACAGATATTTTGGTCTTATTACTGCACCACGCGAAAGCAGAAATGGCGACAATTCATCTTCGCCACTTGGACAAAAAGCGGAACACCTATGACATAAAATCAGTCTGCAGCGCAATGGATAAAACTGTATTAGACAATTTATTGTTCATTCACGCCTGGTCTGGGTGTGATACCACTTCTGGTTGTTTCGGATTCGGTAAATTGGGACTTCTTAAACATACGAACAGTGACATCTTTCGAGAAGCTAGCAAGACAATAGCTTCACCTGGAAGTTCCCAGTCCGAAGTATCTGAAGCTGGAGAAAGGTTATTCTGTGTAATGTATGGTCACAAAAATGAGATATCTCTGACTAAAGTCCGGTACCTAAGTTACAAAGCTATGATCGCTGAAAAAATTTCCATTCAAATCAATAGACTTCCTCCAACAGCTGCCGCGGCCGAGCAGCATGCTCACCGCGTTCATGTTCAGGTTAGAATTTGGGATGAACTAGACGATGGCGTCGATCCTGTGAATTGGGGTTGGCAAGTGATAGAGCATAGATACGTTCCCATCGCGACGATTCTTCCATCAGCACCAGACAACGTTCTGAATTTCATCCGGTGTAAATGTAAATCGTTGAAAAACCAATGCTCGTCATGTTCTTGTATTCAGAATGGTTTGAAATGTGTTGAAGCGTGTGGAGGATGCCACGGGGAGGGTTGTCTGAATAGCGAACAAATCAGCATTGATTTAGAAGATGAATTTGGCACGGGGTAGAACAAATCAGAACTGAAGAATATTTTGATGATTTTATTGATGATGATCCGAATGAATATTTTATGATGTCCAGAATGTTCCTCTTGTCTATCTGTTTGCTGTTGTTGCTTTATTCACAACACGTCTCCGCCATTTTGAATTTTGGACATCAAAGTGACGTCATAGTTCCGCCATTTTGTATTCTGGCGTCACGGTGACGTCGTACGTTATTTTTGACGCCATTTCTGGATTCCTTGGTATCACTTTCCTATATGTTGATAATACATTTCTAGGCTGTAAAATTGATATTTTTGAAGTAATAAATGGTTTTCAGTTTCATTATGTTGACCCAGGGGGTCAAAATTTCAATATGGTGTAAAAAATTTTGCTCAACTCCGATCGGCGGGGAAAATTTTTCTGGAACACTAGGGACATAGTTGTTTCAGAAAATGAAGAAATCATTTGGGTAGGAATTTCTTCCCACAAATTTTCTATCCCGACCAGACTATAACGTCATATGGTAGTGATAGAGAAATAACATGAAGATCACCTTAAAACAATTATTGGTCTGACACAATATATTATTATAGTGGTGTATGGAGTTACCTGCCGTTGATTGAGGACATTTCCTGTAATAGTAGAGTCAAATTGTAGAATAACCCTAAAAAAATTGCAAGAAAACGTTTTATTGCATTTTCTTATAGTATTTGGTCCAGAAAACAACATATTAAAAGTTGTCTGAAATTGAGCTACCGCAAAGGCACTCGGCAAATCTCGACAGATTCCGTTACCCTACATCTAATCTCGGCTGTATGACAGTAAGTGATATGTACCTACGCCCATACATTTGCGATGCGGCTGCCGGTTTACTTTAAACAGGAAAACGTGTCGCTTTTACAAAAAAGTCCCAAATTGCGTCTTTTGTAGAGTGTATATACCTAAATGAGCAGAGATATTGTCTCAAGGCTGCTGGTTTGATAAAATTCCCTGGTAATTCCCCAAACCCAATGCCAAACGTGACGTTTGTTGATATAATACACTCTCCACAGAAATCTCCATAGGGGCAGCCATTTTTCATTCGGAACCTTTAAAATAGTTCAAATATGGCGGAGATGGTGATACAGCCGAGATTAGATGCCTAGAATCTGTCGAGGTTTGCCGAATGACCGCAAAGGGTCTAAATATGACGTCAAACAAAATGCCCGCCGTTGGACCAAAATCCCTTTTTTTCTGCGCGTATTCTATCAAAGCTGTTGTTTAAGAAGGCTTAGGTGTAAGACAATGAATGCTATTATAAAAAAATATCTTAGTAATTCATCACTCTGTGAGTGTTGTGCAGTGTCGTCATGGCGTTATAAGGGATTGTTATGACGTCACGACTAAAATTGTTCCTGTCTGATGGTTTGTTAGCGATTTTATTTGAAGTTTTAGATGGATGGATAGCAAAAGTACAGACAATTGCTGCAATAGACATGCTGACCACGATTTGCGGTCGGTCTAGAGTATATTATCACCAAAAGAAGTCCCAGTCCGAAATCCGTGCCAAAATGGGTCAAATTGACCAAAATTCAAAATGGCCGCCGGTTTTGACTGGACAATGTCAGTTTGTATCCAATTATCATAATATGATCGAGCTTGGTATCAAAATGTATCCTTTCGGAGTAGCTGAATCCATTTGCATACACATTTTGGTGAATAATTAAACCGCGGAGTCAATATTGGGAAATAACTCCAGACGGCGGCCAGTTTTCGCGGAAAAATGCGAATTTTACGAGATGACCACATTTGGTGTCAAAATATACGTTTTGGAGGCAGCTGATTCCATTTTCGACTCATTTTGTCATTTTGGTAATTAACTGGGTCAAAAAATGTGGAAATCCCATTGGAGATTTGGGGATTAAGAGAGGTCGAGTCTGCCTCAGATCTAATACTATTGCATTCATCAAGCATCAACTAAACCCTCTGGCCGACCACTGCTCATTGCGGAAGCAGCGTAGCGGGCAGCAGGCATGATGAAATGGGCCCCTCTCAGCTCACTGTGTCTGATTTCGATCACCAACATCGACAGTGGAGCCAAGATGACCAAACCTATTGAAGCACACAGCGAATTTATTTAAACATGTAATGCGACACAAACGGATCCCGATATGCAGTGAACTATTTGACAATGAACAACCTACCGCCATTCCGAAAATGACGGAAATATAACGGGTATTGGAGGCCGACAATAAAGAGACGATTAAGATCCCTGACCTACGTTCAATAATGAGCGGAGATAACAATTTCAATGGCAGAAAATGTAGGACATAATAAAACTTGGTGTAAAGTCATGGCTAAGTTCAACAATGAGCCAAGGACGTGCTAGGGCCTCCGAGTGGGGGTAGGCAGACCAAACTTAGGGCACTTTAGGAGAGGGGGCAGGATCGGGAAAATTTGAGTTCTGTGGCACATGGTAGAATCGATTTGGTGTTTATGTGAGTCATGACCTACCATACATTGACACTTGGTTAAGGGATTATGATCATGACTAGGTCCTAAAGATATGAACGTGAAGGTAGTTAGCTGCAATCAAGAACTAAACGACCTGTGAGTAATAAAAAACAAGTACCAACAGGGACTGGTATTTCTTACAAAGGGTATACCTGCCAAGTTTCATTCGATTGTGTTCCCTAATGAGGGGAGGGGTAGGGAGTGGAATTGAAAGTAGACTCACAACCCCAAGAAAGAGAAGACGATCAAGTTACTGGTTACAGATTAGAGTTCATGGTGACGGTTAGCGTATTGGCCTTGAGTGTGCTAACCAGAAAACACGTTCCCGTCGCCCGTGTTGCAATTTTCCTGTATTCATTTAGATAAATAATCAAAACTAAGACAAATTAATTGATTCTGAATATTATGGAAATATTATTCTGGCCGTGAAATCTATTCTGGATGTCATCCGGAAGGGCAGCAGAAAAGGGGGCCATAATGTTTTCTTTAGAGTGGGCATTTCCTTGAGTATTTAAGGTAACTTTGTCGAAATCCGAGCGCACATTTTCGGAGGGGGGGGGGGCGTACATAGCCACCCCCGGTCGCTCCACTAAACCCTAGTAGGAAATCTCATCGGATTCGAGCGTTATCAACCATTTCCAGTTTCTTTTGTTTTTGCATTTAGGAGAGTACGCCTCTGCAATAAGATTTTTTGCTTAGGTTACACCGAGTGATGGACAATTTCAATGCTAGATGCTTTATAAATATGTTAGGTGTGCAAGTAATTAATAAGTGTCATCTGTTTAGGGACACCAGATGACACTAGATTAATGCCCAGTCGTCAAATGTCCCGTCTTAGCATATCTAAAAAATAGGCGTTGTAGCAGCGGTCACCGGCCGGTTATATCTGTTGTAATGGACCGTCTGCTAGTCTTTCTTACAGACCATGTAAAAGACAACGGTGCACAAAAATTTATTAGCTTTAAGGTAGGAGTATCATGAACCTCCATTCCCTAATCTGTAATCTAAATCCCTAATTGAAATTTCTCCTATATTGACACGGGGAATCACTATTAATCACTAAAACATGTACAAAAATGGATTCAGCTACCTCGAAAACGTATATTTTGACACCAAACTTGATCCTTATGTAATGTTCGAACTTTCCCGCCAAAACTGTCCGCCATCTTGAATAACCTAATATTGACTCAGCGGTAACACTTATCACAAAAGTATTTATGGAAATGGATTCAGTTACCCCGAAAACGTATATTTTGATACCAAATTTGATCATATTATGATAATTGGATGGAAATTGAATTTTTGTCAATTTGACCCATTTTGGCACGGATTTCGGACTGGGACATTTTTGGGTGATAATATAGGTCTAGACCAACCATAAATCGTCGTCGGCATTTCTATTGCAGCAATTGCCCACATTTATGCTCTCCATCCATCTACAACCTCAAATGAAATGGCTAAAAAGCCATCGAAAAGGAACAATTTTCGTCACTTGGAAACACTGCACAACACTCACAGGGTGATGAATTACTAAGATATTGCTTTTATAATAGCATTGTTTTACACCTAAGCCTTTTACAACAACAGCATTGATAGAATATAACCAGAAAAAAAAGGGATTTTGGTCAAATGGCGGCCATTTTGTTTGACGTCATATTTAGACCCTTTGCGGTAGCTCAATTTCAGACAACTTTTAATATGTTGTTGTCTAGACCATATACTAACCATAAAACGTTTTCTTGCAGTTTTTTTTTTTAGCTTGGCACATTTTTTTCATTACTGTAACCCTACTATAATTTTCAAACCCTGGACAAACCAAGATAAGAGAGAGAAATGGGGTTTAACGTCTACTCGACACAAACTAGGTCATTTCGAGACTAACATATGGTTCAATTTTATTTCAATAATTATCTTGCGCGTAGGGGTCTTTAGCAGTGGGAGGAAACAGGAGATCCCGGAAAAAACCCACGAGGTTGGACAGGGAACCCTACAGACCTTATGATACAGCGCGCACTTGCTAACCATTCGGCCATCCAACCCCCACGGTATTTTGTCTTATTTGGTAGCGTCTATGGCCCCTTGGGAGTAAGGATTTGTTTGAACATTGATAGTATTAACAGCAGCAGTACCATTAGCTGGGTATAGTGGTGGATAAGCAGGGTTTACTGGCATAGAATAATGATTAGTGGACGGTGGCGCAGTTGGTGTATTGTTGTACATCTGGGACGATTGTGGTGGGGGCATCAACTTTCCTTCAGTGTATTGAGGATGAGTAGCTTGTGCATAAGATGGTGGTAATTGTTGAGTCTGTGGTGGATAGAACTGTGTCTGGACATTGTATGGTTGGAATCCAGGATTTCCATATCCACAATAAGAAACGGTAGACGGACCGGTAACTGAAAATAAGTAGACTACAATGTCATATATAAAATATAATTGTCTTCCAAAATATAAACTGTGGTATACTTTAAGAAATCATTTCGATGGGAAGATAATTTGAGACCTGTTCGATCAATAGCGGTGGCTGTGTAGGTGTTTTACCTCTTATGCCCTTGGCCATTATCTCGTTTCGTTTAGTTCTTGCGACACATTTTTTTGTAAGTGTAGGACATTCTTATACAGCGCGATACTTGATTGAAGTTATGCATGATTTGATGCATGATCTGATTGTAACGTGTTTACGAAAACATTTAAGTACCGAGTTGGGGGTCTGGAAGGAAGATGTAAGATATTATGGAAGATACAATTTTAGACAAAGCTGTTTTTTGTACATGCTTTTCATGCTTTTTAAAACGACCCAGCACAATATTCGGCGGTAGGTTACAACACAAATGATGGCTTGGATGTCACGGTTCTTCATCCGAATAACTTACAATTCGAAACAGAAAACAGATGGAGAACGGGTTTTTGTCGGTCTCGAACAACCGGGAATGCGTTCGCAAAAACGTTCCCGTTCTCTTTGCGTATGCGTAATACAGTACTAATGAAGTTATAGTAATAAATTGTATAAATTTAATTCAACTTGTTCCAGTTTGTCTGCTAATATTTAATGTCGGGATAAGTGAATAAAAGGAGTATTGATATGCAATATAATTTAACAAAGGGCACATATACATGTTGAAGTATATATTATGTTCTGATGACGAACATATAGTAATAATTCATATTAATGACAGTAAGTTTTCCTTTATTCCAAGGCTATATATAGTTCTGTATATACATGCATGCAAGTTGTTGTTAGAAAGGACCCCAACAAGTTTATGTAATTGATAGTCGGCCTTTTTTCAGCGTTTTTGCATATATATTAGGACACAAAAAAATGTAATAAATAAGATCTGAATGGAAAGCAAGATGAAGCATATGGACACAGATCACCAAATATTCCTACGCCGTTACCCACGAAACAAGGGCCAGAGCTATTTTTAGTCTACCTCTACCTTTCCCCCCCTTTTGCATGGCGATTTTTGTTGACTTTTTGGTGTAGAATCGAAGGAAGGGGTTTGAAAATACATTTTCTGCCAGGTTTGGGTTAATATTCATAATTTTGATGCGGAAGGATACAAGATTTGAGAGGTTGGTTAGGTTGAAATGTAGGGCCTAAAATTGCATGTTTACTTGTCTCTACTTCCAGCTTGTGTATCTCAAGTTTTTCAAGAAGAACCGCATACGCGCTTTTGGGCAAGAGGTTGCCACATGTTGCTCCATCTGTGGTAGAAAGCGTTCTACCCAACGAAAATTTGGGAAAAAGTTATAGCCGGTCTAAGATACGAGAATTAACATTGGAGTCAATGGGGAAATCTTCAGTGATCTGTTGCCTGTCTATGTGTGATAAGGCTGTGACTGATATGTAGAGCGGGAGCCTAGGGGGTTAACCTAGCTGAAAAGTGTACCAATTGTCTCCTATATGGTATCAATGTATGTATATCTGGTATCATCAGAATGTAAGTCTGCCGGGTTTCTGGTGGTGGTTGTGGTATTCCACGCCGAAAATGCCATGCCCCCCAACTAGTCTAGATTAGCTCAAAAGTGTACCACATGAAAATCGCACAGCAATGTACCCTACATCTTCAGGTATTACAAAAACACTCTGACGGACATTTCTAGTGGTGGGGTACCCCGACAGAGCTATGTAATTGCCAGACATTTGTAGTGGTGGGTTACCCCTGACAAGAGTTATCTAATTCCCAGACCAAAGCTAGGCTAGATTAGCTCAAATCTGTACCACCTAAAACAGCTTTGGAGTTGTTCAGTACCACGAGAGGGATCATGTATGACCACTGCCAGACAGTTTGTGCGGTGGGTTACCCCTAATAGACACGCCCAAAATGCCACGCCCTCCAACTAGGATAGATTAGCCGGCACTGTTCCCGTGGTCCAAAAATTTAAAAATTGTGCCAGGATGCGTGGATTACTAATACCTAGCACGTATTGAAGAGGCGATAAACTGCGGTTGCAGGAACAATTCTATTTTTCAAAAATGGGTTTTTTTCCCAAAAATCAATTTTTTTCAACCGCAGTTTATCGCCTCTTCCATACGTGCTAGGTATTAGTATTCTACGCATCCTGGCTAAAAATTTAATTTTTTAAAACACGGGAACAGTGCTTGCGAAAAACACGGGAACAGTGCTTGCGAAGTTATCCTAGTTGGGGGCGTGGCATTTTGGGGCGTGTCTGTTAGGGGTAACCCACCGCACAAACTCTGGCAGTGGTCATTCATAACTTCTGTGGTGGTACTGAACAACTCCAAAGCTGTTTTAGGTGGTACAGATTTGAGCTAATCTAGCCTAGCTTTGGTCTAAATATTAGATAACTCTTGTCAGGGATACCCCACCACTACAAATGTCTGGCAATTACATAGCTCTGTCAGGGTACCCTACCACTAGAAATGTCTGTCAGAGTGTTTTTGTAATACCTGAAGATGTACGGTACACTGCTGTACGATTTTCATTTGGTACACTTTTGAGCTTATCTAGCCTAGTTGGGGGTCATGGCATTTAGAGCGTGAAATACCACACCCACCACCAGAAACCCGACAGATGTACATTCTGATGATACCAGATATACATACATTGATACCACATAGGAGAAAATTGGTACACTTTTCAGCTAGGTTGACCCCCTGGGCTCCCGGTCTATTGCCTTATTTTTATAAATATGAAGATTAAATTCTCAGAAAATATGAATAAAATATTTTGACTACAGAAATACTAAAAAAAGTTAATTTTTAAAAAAAAAAATTAAAAGTTTGGAGAAGAATTGTGATTTTATTGCAAATTTCTCAATTTTCAGTTATTATTTAATTTTTAACAGTAAGTAAAATATTTTGATGGCCAATTTTGGCTTATTCAGCCTCAGAAAGCACAGATAAAGCGAACAGTGTTGTAATTTCACCAAATTTTGTCTAAAAATCAGGAATATTAACAGAAAATCTCCAGGTTCTCTCATTTCGATGTAGAAATTAATCCTTTCATGACTACAAATGAGTCAAAATGTCTAAAAATGCCCTTATTTTCATTGATCATATAACTTAGATGTTTGTCAGGTTTAGAAATAGCTCCAGCTTTCCTAAAGAAAATTTAAAATTTGTAACACTGAGTTAATAATGTACAGCAGATGGGTTTGTACAAAATGTTCTAAACAGGGGTTGGCTCAATTTTGCCACTCTTTTATACAGAACAATCATTTTTTTCTTCTTTGAAACATTAAATTCTTGCATTTCCTTCATGTAGAAAGCAATATTCCAGTCTTTCTAGACATTTTCACTCCGCCATTCCGTTAAGAGAGGCTATAAATGCCCCACTCCACCCTTTTTTATTAATGTGTTTTGAGAGATTTAATTGCACCTGTGTTGACATTTAAATGATAGTATTTGGCATTTGTGGTTGACTTACAGCTAAGAATGTTATTTTTCACCAAAAAATAGTTTTTTTTGCACATTTCAAGAATTTTTTTTAGTTCATAGTCAAATTTAGAACCCTGAGGCATTTCAGGCCAATGAGACCACAGCCTGATATAAAACTGGTGTAGATGTGTAAATGTCAGCCGAAAGTTCAATATTTTCTTATCAAAATCTAGGATTTGTGGTGTTTGTTGCATTTATGTTGCTTATAGAACAATACAATGTTAATTTTTCTCCTTTTCAGGCCTCCTACTTTTTTGACTTCATTTTTGCAGGAAATTGATGTAAAGTTCCAGACATCTTGCTTCAGCACAACGACTGCAATACAAATTTGTATGATGCCTCTGAGGTTTGGGATGTTGGATACATTGAAACATTCTAAAATTTGTGAAAATTGGGTATTCTGTGACCCTTCTGTTAGAGGGGGGTGATCATAGACCAAATACGGCATTTTTTCATTCATCAAGGCCTGTTTTTAACCATAATTTAATATTTATTGCACATATTTTAGTTTATATGTGCATATGTTAGTCAGGGATGGTAAAACATAGCTGTTAGACAGATTCCTTTGGTAATGTTAGTTCTGCAATTGATTGATTCAATCAGTGGCATGTTCAAGGGGGTAGGGATACATGTTTCAGTATAGATCTCTAATATTACAATCAATGCAACTGGTTTGCAATTTTCCTGTTTGCATACTGTCCACAGATTCTAAAAATATATTTCTTGCCAGTCTGTGAAAAACTATTGGTATTTTGAAGATGCTACATGTAAATTTTGTACATTTTTCATGACATGGCAGTAAAAAATTATATTTTTGAAAAAAATTCCAAATTATGAGTGTTTTCTATGTAGTTAGTTTGTTTCTAATTTTTTCACAGAACTCAGATACTGCCTTTAATAAGATTTTTAAATTTTAGCACAAAAGGCCAATGGACCAGAGATGCACCAGTGTATATAAAGCAGCATGTATACTTAAAGGGCCATCATTTTGGCAGTTATTCTTTGATTGTGATTTTCTTTCACCGGCATGTTGCCAGAACACATGGCGATTTTTGTTGACTTTTAGGTGTAGAATCGAAGAAAAGGGGTTAAAAATACATTTTCTGCCAGGTTTTTCTGAATATTCATAATTCTGATGCGGAAGGATACAAGAGTTGAGAGGTTGGTTAGGTTGAAATGTAGGGCCTAAAATTGTATGTTTACTTGTCTCTACTTCCAGCTTGTGTATCTCAAGTTCTTCATAAAGAACCTCATACGTGCTTTTGGGCAAGAGGTTGCCACATGTTGCTCCATCTGTGGTAGAAAGCGTTCTACTCAACGAAAATTTGGGAAAAGGTTAGAGTCGGTCTAAGACACGAGAATTAACATTGGAGTCATGGGGAAATCTTTAGTGATCTCTTTCCATATTCGGCTGAACGGCTGAAGCCATGTTAACGGAGAAGTGTTACCACGGATACCGTTCTCTCATGTTCGAGACTAGTGAACGTGTTCTCCCGTTCTTCTGTTGAAGGTCACCCTCGATGTCTAATTTTTATACGCCCACATTGAAATGTGGTCATATATTGTTGTCGCCCCCGTCCGTCGGTCCGGCGTCCACAATTGCTTGTGGACGCCCTATAGGCTAAAGTTAATAAATGATTGACTTTAAATTTATACACAGTGTTTAAGTTCATGAGACGAAGAAGCCTATTGGTTTTCAACGATTTTCGATAATTACTGCCAGAGATATGGCCCTTGATCACTTCAAAAAATCTTGTGGACGCTCTAGAGGTCAAAGTTAATATCCGATTGATTTTAAATTGATACACAGTGTTTAAGGTCATGAGACGAAGAAGCCTATTGATTTTCAATGAATTTTTATGACTTGAACAGCTAAATCCATGATGTTAAAAGTTTCGTATACTAAACGTTAGCATGGGGCAGAACTTTATAAAAACCAAACAAATTCTAATGGTTTTTTGATAATTACTTAATGAGTTGTTACTCTTAATCAGATTTTAATGTATTATAAATGTTTCATTGCCGAAAAAAGTAAAAATATGCGACAACTCTTGTTGACTGCCCCGACGATATAGCTGCTGTGGGCGTATGTTTCGTTGCCTGGAAACCTATCTTTGAATAGTGTGTTATTAGTTTCATATTTCAGACCAAGGGACAAGAATTAAATATCACGAGAAACGTTCTGTTTTTAAAGGCACTAAAAGAACGTACCCATTCACGCGTTCCTACACTCAAGCAAATTTATACGTACATGTACAAATCTGCAGCTGTGTAAGGATGCTTATGGTTAGCATTGTTTTCTTTAAAAGTGTAGGTTTGGAAGCTATACTTTTAGTAAGCAGATTTTAATACATCTAACACTTTTCAGACCTAGACGTTTTTGTGACCTGAATCTGATTATTTACTCATTTTGATCTGTTATTACGTTAATAGAAAGAGTTCACTAACATTACATGCTCAATCAATGCTCTTTAATTATCCATTTTAAGTCTACAAAATTATTTAACAATTACAAACTGTTCACACTCTAAAGTTCAAATTGTGTAAATGCATCGTAACAAGTCCCTGAGCCATAAGATTTGCAAAATGAAATTCTACTCGTGCTCTTATACATTCTCCGTGAATCTAATACTGAATGCTCTATCCTATTGGATATCGTAAATTTTAATAGTATTAATTCACATACAAACATAATACTCCAACCTCAACCAGTTGATATGAAATAGGGTTTAACGCCCTAATAGCCCGTTAGAAAGGTATTAGACGACTATTGCGAAAAAAATAGATTACATTTGTTTGTATATATTACTTATATCCAGAAATGTTTAAATTTTTGTCAGTAATTTATTTAACCTCCTTTTTCCAACCCTCAATCCGTGACCATATCACAATAAACCATATTGTTTCTGCCTGTACTGATGAATATTCAATTGTGAAAGATTTACAGAAACTTTAGTAATGTTGATCGAGGCTAGCCTAAAATTCAAAAGCTAATATCTCGGTTCAGAGTGGAGCAATTTGAATGAAATTTTTAGCATATTCTATTTACGTTATCTATTTGTTAAATGTCATAGCACGAACTGTCAACTCGTTATCCAATCTCTCATGATGCCCCTTTTATATTTTGTTGCAAAGTATTGAGTGCAAGTCTTATATCCATTTTACGAAATGACAGACGTTATGATACAGCGCGCACGTGCTAACCATTCGGCCATCCACCCCCACCCCCTATTTTACGAAATGCGTCGCTTAATACACGTAATTCTTGTCTTGTTACGCTCTACGAAACTTTGGATATTACTATTGCTTATTTTAATTTGATCTGACAGGGGTCTAAAATATCTTTATTACACGATCCTTACCAGTACTACTGACAACTGTAACACCCGTATTGTTAACAGGACCAGCCCTCAAAACTCTTCCTCTCTTAGCTTTGGAACAAACACAGCATATTATAATTGTAATCAGTGCGCCCAAGCCGACCAACGCTGATATAACAACACCAATGATCGTACCAGCTCTGAAATAATACCATTAGATAATTGTAGTTTGTATTAATTTCGTGGTTACCTGACAAGGACTTCAGATTATTATTTTGTACTACCCGGTCAACAGGCGAACAGAAATAAAAGTAGATACAACCACAAGGGATAATAATTATCGGTGATATTAAAATATACTAAACTGTTTAGCGTTTTATCGCGTTTGGTCTTATTCTCAAAATATAAACACTCTTCGTTCGGTAAAGAATTAACATATAGTGGGATTTCCCTTTAAAGCAAGTCTTATTTTTTGATTATACTTACGAGAAGCTGGTAGTATAAAAATAGTAGGAACTAGAATACGACGAACAGCATTTATATTTGTGTGTGAAAGATGAACAGCAACCATGCAAACAGTAAACGTATCTTGTACTGTAGGTGTATCCAGTATTACAAAGATAAGCCTCGATGTCTAAAATATCAGAATACACATAATAATGAAGTTCATGTAATTCAGTGGTTTTATAGTTCACGAAAAAGGCTCCAAATCAGAAAATACTTGATTTTCGACGTGCCATATTTCCAAATCTGACCATAGTATCTGCATACTGTAGTCTAATCGCCGCTCGACCCAATTATACCTTAATTTGTTTAATCCGTTGATATCGGACGGTAAAATCGAGTTTTTCCCCAAAACACCCATTTTTCGCGCTTTTTTAAAAAAAAAATATCGCATATTATTTCCACTACTTCCGGTTTACGGATTGTTGTTGAAATTGCTATATCCAATGGTTTGCCCATATGGCTTTATGTTCCAGGAGTTTCAGAAACGTCGATTTATCCTTTCCCAAAAATATAAGGGTTATAAAATTGGAAGAAAATTCGAAAAATAAAGGGCGATAACTCTGAATGAAACTTGTATTACTGCAACCGGGTGGACCTCAGGTATCCAAAAATGTAGGTTAAATTTATAAATTTTGAAAAATAACAAACATCGTCTCATAAAGAACCTATTTTCAATTTTCGAACGATAGAACTCATAGACGAATATTCGAAACTGAAAAATGTGAGATAGCCATTGTCTCGGAAAAGATTCGGGGTTTCCGAAAATATCCTTTGTTTGAAAATGAGTAAAGAATTGACGAAACCATGGCCCATTTTCAATTTCGGGACAACATACACAGTTCGCCAACTTCCGGTATGCGCAGAAGTTTCAAACATGGTCGATCAAGTAGCCACCACCCAGTTTCAAGATAGAAAATTTAGTTCCAGATCTATATCTGTTTTTGATCATGGAGAAATAAGCTCCCGCGGTAAATAATAATTATAATAATAACTAGATCTGCTAGGCAGATATGAAAGCTTTCATATTCACGGTCAGTTTCTGTCACATGTCATGGGGTTATATAAAGAATCTCAACAAGGAAAAGGAGTTATTAAAATCGATCAAAACTCGAAGTTATATACGTATATATAGTGAGTAACATTGCACCCGGGCAAAAACAAATCTAGAAAATAAAGGGAAATAACTGAGACTTGTATTGCTGTAATCGAATTGACTCCCCGTTCCAGAAGTTTAAAATACGGATCTAGATGTTGAAAAACGGGACAGATGAGAAAATGAAATGAAAATGGCGGGAAATAACTCGTACATGTACATTGTGTTGTAGGATGATCATTTGGAAAATTATACAACCCTAAATTCCACGATTATTAATATGAAATGAAATGGGTTTTAACGCCCTGCTGTTCTGCTGCTACTGCGCTAATTAAGACAGGCGTACGCTATACAGAATGCTATGAGGTACATTTTTCCCGGGCAGCGGCACTATGGCCTACTCTTATATCGAATTCCAACTGCCAAGGGATCTTTAACATGGACCCCAATTTATAGACGGGTCCTCAGTTGATAGGCCCATCCGAACGATTAGACAGCTGATCTTGTCAGGGCCTCCGTTCTGTACCACGGACAAGGGGAAACGACGCTGGAAAATGCAGATATTTATGCGTATACATGTATATAGTGAGTAACATTGCACCTGGGCAAAATAACAAAAAAAAATGGAAAATAAAGGTAAATAACCGAGACTTGTATTGTTGTAATCGAATTGACTCCCCGTTCCAGAAGTTTAAAATACGGATCATTTCTTTTTCTTATTTTAAAACTTGAAAGATATTTCTATAGTTCAAAGAGCTAGAATAAAGTCACCTGGCTGGGACAGCGGGTGCTTCCGTATATCAGACAAAATCAAAACCATGCTATGGACAATATTGCGCAAACATGAAACTTCCAAAAATGTCAGAAACTGTTCGAATATAACATATTGAATAGGTTTTATATCGGAGAATTCCCTACTCCCCCCCATTATTACGACACTTACGAGGTTCAGTCTAATATCCCCAGATCACTTGCATTAGGTGAATTATCGATATAATTAACGGCGATGGCTATATGATCTGGATATCTGTCTACGTTTTAAATTTTAGGTTGCTAAACTTTAACGTAGCAAGTATTGAAACGAGCTGAAGAGTGAAGTCGAGTCAACTAATAGACTGCTAAAATATAACGAGAACCATTCCCCCTGGCGAAAAGGTAATCTAAATATAAAAAAGATATTGCTGAGATCGTATTGTTGAAACCGGATTTACTTTCCGTTGCAGAAGTTTCTGAAAAATCGTTCAAGTCGTTTAAAACCCAGAAGAATCAAAAAAATGAGTAGAAAATGGCTGGAAAAATGCCGGGAAAATATCGAACAATAAACTGAGATAACTTACAATGAATCTTATATTTTTGGAATCGGATTGACTTCAGCTATTCGAATATTTAGATCAAGTTTGTAAGTTTTAAAAATTAAGATAAAAAAATGTCGTGCAATTAACCTTCGGAAATAGGAAACCAATTCACGAAACGGCGGCTTATTCCGAGTATTTCCAAGCTGTTAATGCAGATTTTTCACTCGTAAATAACTTTGTCGAGTTAAATGCATCAAACTACTGTCATTCCAAATATCTCTCATTTCTCCAAGGGGAGACATGGTATAAGTTAAATGGATCAGGTCTACTTTTCTTCTCAATTTCATGAAAATCATGCTAATATTAAAGAAGTTGTAAAATTCGTTTTTACTTCCGAAATAAATGTCAATGTCCACTCGACACAAACTAGGTCATTTCGGGACTAACATATGATTCAATTTTATTTCCATAATTCGCTTGTGCATATGGGTCTTTAGCAGTGGGAGGAAACCGGAGGACCTTGAGCAAACCCACGAGGTTGGACAGGCAACCCTACACCTTGTCACGTACAACCGGGGAATCGAAACCACGCCAGTTGACTCAATGACAAAAATGTTTCAAAGTACCCAAAGAAATATGAATATGTAAAATAGGTCAAATATTCACAAAGTTACAGCTATGTAGGTTAATTCTTTCGTCATTAACATTTGGTGATTTCGGATTTGTAAAGCGTTTCGAAAATATGTATTCCAATCATCATCCATTCTGGGAGACAGGTTAAAGATTTAAACAGATCTAAAGATTAGTTTCATGGATATAAGTTTGACAGAATCTTAAGAAAGAAATCAATCTGATTAAAATACAGATCTATATTTCGTTTCGTTTTTTTATACCTTCGATGGCCTACACTACATGAAGATCTGATAAGTTATAGCGATAGGTCACGTCAGGGGTCAAAAGACTGACTTATGACCCTTTTGACGTCAGACATTTGATTAACCAATCAACATTGATGTTACTAGTGGATTACCCACAGTTCCGTGAAAAACACGCCTAAAGCTCGCCGTAACAGACCGTTTCATTGGCTTATCCCTGACACCATTCAGAACACGAGTTAAATAACAACTCTTCCAGATCCAAGTGTAGTAAAGACAAGTAAAACGAAATTTTTAACTATAAAAACAAAACGAAATAGGATCTGTGTTTTAACCAGATTGAGAAAGAAATTGTCGTGTAAACAACTTTGTTGGCACGAAAAACGTCAAAGTGGAAATTCGAAATTTTGAAATATCAAAAATTTGTTACTGAGCTCTACATTATTTGGGCATTCCTTCAAGGATTCGGAAAATATAATTCCCTTGTCTGTAAGTAAAATATCAAAAAAGCCTTAAGGATATTTCACATTTCAAGATGGTGGCACTTCCGGATTGAGCTACAAACACCATTTTTTATGTACGATTCAGTAGTGTCATAGCTAGTACAGAAAAAAAATTCAAGGCAATCTGACCTATATTTAGTCGATTTGTTTTAAAAATTTGATCCTTAATTTCTCCAAGGGGGGATAAGTTGGGACATTTCTAATGGTATCGTTGAAGTTGGGTTAATGAGGTTTACATACATTCCAAATTTCATGAAAATCGTACCAATATTAAAGAAGTTGTCAATTCTGTTTTACTTCCGGGACAAAATGTCAAAGACGTAATTTTCGAAAATCGGAAATAGCAGATTTGAAGTAAAAATTTCAAGGTACTCAAAGAAAAAAAATAGTAACATAGGTCACATAGTCACAGAGTTATGGGTATGTAGGTCAATTTCTTCGTTCGTAAAATTCGGTAATTTCGGACTCGTAAAAAGTTTTGAAAATATATTTAATCAACAGCCACCACCCATTTTTTTTTAGGGAGGGGGAGGTAGGTAAAAGTTTCAGAAAAATTCTATGGTTAGATTCTGAAAAATCCAATTTGTGGACAAAACACACACAAAAAAAAAATAATAATAATTACTTTAACAAAAACAATAAGCTTTCAAATGAAATATGAAAGCTTAATAATAATCTTAACAGAAACAATAAGCTTTCATAAATATGAAAGCTTAATAATCTTAACAGAAACAATAAGCTTTCATATGAAATATGAAAGCTTAATAACTTTAACAAAAACAATAAGCTTTCATGTGAAATATGAAAGCTTAATAATCTTAACAGAAACAATAAGCTTTCATATGAAATATGAAAACTTAATAGTTTTAGTAATCTCTAGGCTTTCAGACAAAAGTTATGAAAGCCTAACTAGACCTGCATAGCAGTGCTGAATCGGCTTTCAGGCAACAGACCCGAAGGGAGCATTCGAAAGTCCATTTACTGGGCTATCGAACGATACTTTAGCTCTTTTGGTCTGGTAATATCCAACGAAGAAATCGCGTTTTTGGCAAAAATCTTCATTTTTTTCCATTTTTTTTTAAAACATATTTTTTCGACTACTTCCGGTCATTTGGGCATTGTCGGGATAGCTTTAACAAGTTGTTTGGATACTTAACTTCCTGTCCCAGATGTGTCAGAAACATCCATTGAGTAGTTTTCGAAAAAAAGATAAATAAAAGATGTGGGCGTATAAAAAGATAAATAAAAGAGAGAGAGAGAGGGAGAGAGAGAGAGAGAGAGAGAGAGAGAGATGGGGTTTAACTAGATCATTTCGGGACTAACACATGGTTCAATTTTAATTCGATAATTCGCTTGCGCGT